CACATGCTGTGACAGCCGCTTTCTGTCCGTGTGCTTCAGATGTGTGCGCTCAGAAAACCGTATATCAGAAGTTTAAACTCATATGGTTTAAAACGCATGATTTCAGTGCGATAAACATGATAATCAAAAACAAAACAGATGTTTTTAGCAGATAAGAGCAGTAAAGGCGCAGCTCTATTCTGGAATAGGGGGCGGGGAGCAGCAGCTCATTTGCATGTAAAGACAGGTCCGAAAAACAGCGTGTTTCTGCTTCCACTCAAAATAGGCATTTTCAAAATTATATAATAAATGATCTGTGGCGTATTTTGAGCTGAAACTTCACAGACACATTCTGGGGACACCAGAGACTTATATTACATATTGTAAAAAGGGGCATAATGTGTCACCTTTAAAGTTGTCCAAATGAAGTCCTTAGCAATGCATATTACTAATCAAAAATTAAGTTTTGATATATTTACAGTAGGAAATTTACAAAATATCTTCATGGAACATGATATTTACTTAATATCCTAATGATTTTTGGCATAAAAGAAAAATCAATAATTTTGACCCACACAATGTATTTTTGGCTATTGCTACAAATATACCCCAGCGACTTAAGACTGGTTTTGTGCTCCAGGGTCACATATGAGCTTTGAACTGAATTTGTCAATTACAGGTGTTCTATTTTTAGTGAGTTTTCTACATATTTATTGTGGGTCTTTCCACAGGACAGTATCTTACTCCTCCACTGTAGTGCGCAGGTCAGCCTCTGTTTTACTAAGCTTCTCCCGCAGTCTACTGCACTCGGCTTGACTCTGGTCCAGCTCTCTCCTCAAGTCTTTCATTCCTGCTCCCGCCTTCAGCTGAGTCTCACTCAGATCACTGCGCTTCTGCAGGGAGAGATATAATAAGAAATGACAGTAATGACATTAAATGACGGTAACCTTACTGAACCTTCAAAATCATTGACTGTTTGAGACACGGGGCATCTTTTTTTGGATTTAAGGCCCAGTCTTTATAATAAGCCAGTAATTGGTTAATATGATTATTGAGCTCAAGGGGTGATAGGAGTGGGATTTTCTGTCAACACAGAAGCTTCTATCAGACTGACCAAACAGACAGAGCAGGGGTCCATGGTGCAGTTGACAAGTTAAAGCTGCAGAGGTGTTAGTGGTAGGGCTGTGAATCTTTGGGTAGACAGCGAATCGATTCGATTCACAGGTTTTCGATACAAGAACGATTTTTGCAAATTCAGAACGATTAAATTTGATTCGATTCACAATTAAATTCGATTCGATTCTGCATTCTTTAAGTGCATTCACAGGATTATTTAAATGCTTTCCCTAAATTCTTTAAATGCTTAGTCGGGGGGGAAATTACACAGCAGCCTTTATGGTTACAGAACCGTAGGTTAGAAAAAACAAAAACAAAAAACACTTTTGTCCATTGTTAGATGCTAGTTTAATGATGCTATGGCATGACATGGCATATGTAGAAATTTATGTAAGCCAAGATTTAAAATTTTGTCACAGCAGGGGTGTAGCCATCATTAGAAGTGACAGAAATGTCAAATACAATAATTGTATGTATGTATGTATTATTATTATTCATTTTTTTTTTACAAGGAATTATTTTCTTATCTCTTACTTTGAATTTGCTTTAAGTAATCAAATACACTGCTGGACAATAATCAATCATTTGTAATCTATAATTTTTTTCCTAATGGCAATTTTATGATTGTTTTATATACTGGAGACACCAATTAATGGAGTCTCCATTAATTCGTGCTTGTAGTAATTTAATGGGTATATATTTTGAAAGCATTGAATCGCTATAGAAATCACGATTCATTCGATTCTTAGTGTTTTAAATCAATTACTGTCCGAAATCGACGATTCAAAAATCCATGTTTCAAGATCGATGCATTGCATCGTCAGGGTTTGTAATCGATGCATCGAGAAAATGAGTGAATCGTTACACCCCTAGTTAGTGGAGACCGAGAGAGAGAGAGAGAGAGAGAGAGAGAGAGAGTTTCACCGTTACCTTGCTTTCATCCTCAAGCTGTTTCTTAAGATCAGCGATTTCTTTTTCCAGTTCTGCTTTCTGCTCCTGAAGGGCTCTAGCCTGGGCTGGAAGGTCTGGAGACTGAAAGAGGAAGGTTTATAAGCAACAGAGCTCTTTTTAGCACTATATGATAGTGATTCAATACAGATTCACATAGCTCACAAGCTGAATAAAAACAGCAGGTTCTCAAGAAAAATCTCTGTTCTAATCATAAATATTTCAAAAGATGGGAATTTATAATGCTCATTCACTCTAAGCTGGTCTTTCCATATACAAGATTTTATGATTTTGTAGGTGTGAGTGTAAATTTTTTTTTATAAATTAACAAAGTAAAAAAGCTAGGTTCTTGTCTGAATTTGCTTGCATACGTTTAAACATTAGCCATGACTATGCTGTTCGCTGAGTAAATAACCGCAGTCAGCCTTTATACTTTCTCCAAGAGATAGACTAAGTCTCTCTTATAAGAGGCTCACAGTCTTAGCTGTTTGTTGAACCCAATTACAATGCCACAACAACGGCTCACTTTGTTGTCGCCTTGCACGTTCCCAGCGGCCCGTGACTTCAAGGTCTGGATTTTCTCGAACACCAGGTTGACCTTCCTCTTGGTGGTGTCATCATTATCATTGCTCCTGCAAAACATGACACAAATGCTCAGAATTCATTCAGATGGTTTGAGAGTCCTTTTCTCTGAGCCAAAGTGTGTGTTGATAGTCTATGTGTGTGTGTGTGTGTGTGTGTGTGTGTGGCTGCGTTAGAAAGATAAGTGGAGAGGAAAAAAACAGAGGAAAACAGATTTAATATTCAATTGTCTTGAAACAGCTGGTGACTAAATTGTCTGTCAAGAGCTCATATCTTTAATGGAAATAAACTAAAGTATAGCAGTGAAGACATTTTCATATAATTTGTTTCTATGAGTACAACTTGTTCAAAATACTGCCCATTTTGACTCCAAATAATCAAAAATACCCAGTTGCACTCATACTATGTCTGACAGTGCCATCAC